TCAAGCGCCAGCAACACACTGGACGGGGCGAGCGGGCAGCAGCAGCAGAAAATGGGACGAAGACATGATGGTTGAGAGTGGCACGGGACACTGTATCGGGAACCAGCAGCATACGGGGAGGGGACGGGATGATAATTGAGAGGGGTACAGGACACTATTGGGGACAGCAGACATTCGTATCAGTCGATAGACGGGTGAAGTAACGAGATCCAAGTATATCGAGATCGGCGAATAAAGCGTGATATTGACTATCCATGACAGATTGGATAATGATGTAAATAATTAGACCAATTAGGACAAATCAAATCTATTCAAAAACACAAAAACTCACCAAACGTATATCCTGGTCAGCATATTGACGCAGTTGGCGAGGATAAATCCAACCCCGCCGAATAGCCTAGTAAAGATCCCTGTCGAGATGACGAATATCACAGATAGCAGCACCATCTTCCGGTTATACCTGAAACACCGGAAAACGCCACAACACCTGTCAAAGCGCCCGATAGTAACGTTCCTAGCTTCACTTTATCGACACGACTGGCCAGCCTTTCCACTTCGCCTTTAGCCGCAAAAGGCAGTCTAACAACAAAAACCAACATGAGAACGTCATTTCCTAATCCGCTCAGCCTCTACCGACTAATTTACCTCACTCCTTACTAAGCCACCGACCATTTCCCGACTGCTTTCCATAAACCCTCCACGGCACTTACCCATTGATCTGTTCCTGGCGCATCACCGCGAACGTGTAGCACTCCAGCACTCCGTTCACCGCCAGTAGGAGCACGTAGGCGCACTGGGCGCGCAGCAGACTGACGGCCGGACCGGCGGTCAGCAGGGCGCCTCCGTACAGCCGCAGCAGCAGGTGGGAGTAGCTCCAGCCGAACGTGACGGCAACCAGACCGAGCAGGCTCATGGCGCGCAGCAGGTCGTGCAGAACCCGGCCCGCCGCGGCAGACACCGGCTGCAGGGAGAGGGGGTAGGGTCAGACTCATAGCGCGGAGTAGGTCGTGTAGCACCCGGCCCGCCACCGCAGACACCGGCTGGAGGGGGAGGGAGCTGTCAGGCACCGGCTGGAGGAGAGGTGCCAAACTGTCCCCTTCCAGTGACTGGCGAGAAGGGGAGAGATGGCCAGAAGGATAGAAGCTGGGCAACAAAACAAACCGAATGACAAAAAAGACACCAAGATGAAGATCACAACGACTGGCAGTAAGGACTTATAGCGGAGATGAAGAGTAGCTACGAGTATAATTGGCTAATATCAGAGGAGTGTGTGCTTACAGCTTTTTCGGCGCCTCACCGGGCATCGACACACTGTGGTCAACGTTACTGATATTTTCACCAAATGCCACTACTCCTCAGTAAAAAAAAAATAACACAAAAAACTAACATCAAACACCTCCTACCACACAATCAGCCACGTTGCCACCTACCTTTCCCCGTTCCACTGTGCGCGAGAAGTAGACGTAGGCGTTCTCCTCGACTGGCTGAAAGAGGAAGCGAGCCGCCAGGCTGCCCAGGTTGGCCACCACGTCGTACAGGCCCTGCTCGGAGAAGTCGAGCAGGTGGAAGGCGGTCATCAGGTAGCGCTCGCCCTCCGTCAGCAACTGCTTCAGCAGGCCTTGTTTGAAGAAGCTCCAGGTGAGGGCCAGCTGGTCACGGTCCAGCGCCGGCTGACGAGGAGGGGAGGAGAGGCATTACTGATCAGTGAAGAGAGATGGCAGCAAGGGTCACATCGCCACCGTCGCGACAGGAAATGTTAGAGGCAGACGCGGTTGCTGGGAAAACGTGGCAGCACAACTTTGGCTCTATTTCTAAGGATACTCGATCCAGCGCTGCCGTGAGCTGTCTGTAACACAGGTAGGTCTTAATACCGTTTGACTGCAACCTAAGAGGCCTTAGACCTAAAGTTCTAGCTAAATGAAACGAAGAATGCGACGACTTGGCCAAAAGAAACCACTATGACCGCGAAAACGCTTGACTACATTTGAAACCCCGCCCCTTTACAAATAGTTCACTGGCCTCACCTGTCCCGGCACCAGTCTGGGTCCCAGCTCGCTCGCCGACTTCACCGGTAGACAGTTATCCGGTGAGCGGACGTGCCAGAGCAGCAGCAGGGTGCCGTAATAGATGACCACGAGGAGAGCGGAGCTGACCGCGTGGCCCACACAGTAGGCCCAGATGGCGTGGGACGGGTACAGGGCGATCAGTCAGGCTTTGAGCGCCACCCGACTGCACAGACTGACCATGTCGGCTACCACCTTGGGAGAGAGGGAGAGCGGGTGGGTGAGAGAGTGGTGAGAGGAGATGGGGAGGGGCGAGAAGACGATAAGAGAGTCAGAGATAATCCACATATGCCAGCAAGGTAGGGAGAATACAGTACTTCAACGCGGTGTGAACGATCGACGATACGCAAACGACTGTCACAGCAGGCGATTTGAGCTTCGGATATAATTTCACTGATATAGCAGAGTCATCGGGGAACCGAAGCGCCTAAAATATTTTCCCCTGACACCCTGTTCCTCTCCTCTGCGTCACCCCACCGCCGTCATTCACCTTCAATTTGACAAAGAGCATGGCCTGCGCCAGGATGACCAGCGGCTGGGCGGCCGTCTCCAGTACGACCATGGCCGCGGTGACCCACACGCCCAGACGGTACTCTGAGGTCACCTCGGGCGCCGGCTGGCTGAGCGCGTGCAGCCAGAGGCCGGCCAGCGCCGCCGACACCGCCGCTGACACGGGCCTAGCCAGAGTAGCCATAGTAGCTAGCCTCATGACTCTTGGACTATGAAAGGCAAACGAGTCTGTGTGTATAGTTATGAACGCGGCTTCGTGCGGGTTACACCAAGTATGTGCGTGTTCGGCGTTCGCGTTGTGCATTTTCGTATCCGTAAGTGTGTGCGTTTTCTTGTATAGGTATTTCTTGTGTTATCTTCAACCAGCTCGGACTCGGAGTGTAATCGCCACGCCGATTGTGGATTGCTCTTGATCGTCAATACATACATACATACATACATACATACACGCTAACAGGGGAGCGGGGCGTCAGTCAGAGGCAATTACAACACTGCTCTTTTGTAATACACTCAATTCACTGGCAATAAAACATTACATACTTATGTGCCTATGACGATCCCCACATCTGAAGAAATAAACGTCATTTATCGAGGCAATGACCTTTTAAAACCACTACTACTCAACAGAACTGTGCCGATTAGCTGCTACCCATTGACTGCCTCCACAGTCCACATTCCACAACAACACCTGTTTTTGAAGTAGGTACACTCGGGGGCAGATTGATGTTCCACGACTCCCTACCCATCGAGCTCCCATGGCTCAGCACTGGCTGCTGCCAGTGGCAGCACTAGCAGCACTGGCACTGGCATGCAGTGCTGAGCAGTGCTGAGGGCAGGCAACACTGACATCAGCCAGTGCTGAGCCATGGGATCGCCCGATGGGTAGGGAGTGGTGGAACATCATTCTGCCCCCGAGTGTACCTATATCGACAGTTCCCAGCAAGCACATCCTAAGTGTCAAATTTTTGAAATTGAGATTTCTATACCATTTGACTCAGCTCGTGGAGCTGAGTCGAATGGTTATGAAAATCACAGTTTCGAAAATTTGACACTTGGGATGTTCTTGCTGGGAACTGCCGATATGCAGCTTCTCCCAACAGCTGTGACCATTTCAAGTTAAACTGATTTCCGGACCGGAGCGATGTACCTATTGCTTATGAAGATAACCGTATATTACTTCATTTTATACCTACAATAACTAGAAAATAAGAACAAACTCTGTTCAACTAGAAACATACCAAAAATTAGCATTTTTCTTATGGAGTACACACTACAGTTCTGGTGAGAAAATAGCATATGTTCTACTTAGGAACTCAGACATTGGATGCATCACTGATGCATGATAGGAAAAAAGTAAAGGGTGCATACCTGACATTGATGATGCCCAGGACATCAGATGTAATATACCGGAGAATGACTGCATTTGTGATGAATGTGAACACTCGGTAGGTTATCTGAAAGACATTTCATAGGTATAGCTTCAGCATCAATATGTGCAACACAGACCATGCTGTTCTGGGCCCTGTTTCACCGGTGATAGCAGCATGCTGCTATCACACGTGTCAAATTGGATTTCCATGGAAACATCAGCAAACCATGCCGCCGTCAATCTGTGTGATGTCATCAAATATTGCTGCCAACAGCATCACGGCCGTGCGATCAAACACATCGCATTCAACGAAACAGCAACTCTGTTCCAAACGCAGCTCACGGATTACACGAAACGTCATTAGTGTGACCTCATAACATTACGTCAGCTCGCGCAATTTGATAGTAGCGTGCTGCTATCAACGGTGAAACAGGGCCCTGGTCTCCGCAGCATATAGGTGCTTCATTGGTGGAAAATCCCAGGGGGTGCTACAAGCCCCTAATTATCCACCCGTTTTTTATTTTAAGTTCCATCCAGTACCAGTATGAGTGTTTATGGCTTGGAAGGTAGGTGAAACATTTCATTATTGTAATTTTAATCTTTTGAGACCTGAATTTCAACATTCTCTTGAGAGCCTGAGAGCATTCATGCCAAGGTTTCGGAGTCTGTTTCATGATAAAGAGACAATACTTATAATGGAGTCAACTTGTGGGTCTCTACCGCTGAATAAAAAGGTTAATCATCAAAATATTATCACAATCACCCAGCGACACACATATACAGCAACACAGCCCCAACAACACAGCCCAATACCACGGACAGCCAACAAACAAGCAGTGATGTAGGCGTGTTCAAAAAGTTAATATGCAGCTGTCGACACTAAATAGTCGGTGATTTTCCGTTAGAAATTTTGCGCAAACACCATCTGTATGGGCCTTCGAATAGAACCACCACAATTGAAACAAAAGCGCCAAAAAACTTGAATGTTTGTTTTTTTCGCTCGGTAAAGATATATACGCGAGCCGCATCTATAGAACAGCCATTTTGAGGTTTGTTGACGGTAAAGTTTGTTGTTTGTTGGTAACGGTGGTAATGTGGTAATGTGAGAGAAGAGGTTGAGTGAATAGTATTTTGTTGGGACGCAACCGCGCGAGACGATTGGTAACAAGGCCCTATATACTATTGGTAACTGGGTATTTATCGTTCTCATCTTTTGTCTTATTGTGTCATTTAAAATGCAGGGTAAAAGCGGTAAAAGCATGAAATTCAATTTGTCAATGCCTGCCCCATTAATTTTACCCAATTTCAATCTCGCATGTCAAAATGTTAATTTGAATCAATGGGGAAGGATTACCTAAAAAGTTTGAATGAATTCTCACCTAATTCTCAGTGACAAAGATTTGACAAATCTGCCATGTCAAGGCTGAAACAGACTATTTTCACAGTCTGGAAATCACATACGAAAGCATATTCATATACATTAAGTCATGCTCACACTAATTTCCTGCACCTCTTTGTGTGCAATTGATGCTATTGCAACCTGATGTATTTGAATAGCCTCACGTCACATGATTACACATGTGAGGGGTGTTCACAGGCACCGCAAACTGCTGAGTGGGTTGGACTGTAGGTCGGTCCTGACCGGCCACAGCAGTCACTTCACTGTGTGCGCTGACGGAAGGCAGACAGGGACGTAGTGGGCAAGCTTGGAGGCTGTGTACAGTCCGACTGCACACAGATGGCACACAGGGCCTGTGAAGTGTGAACAGCCCTGTGATTTCATGAATGTGGGAAAAGTTTCAGCCTTAATGCAGCTGAGGACATTTAGATGTATTGGTAAATAAATCTTAATAACTTGCAGACTTGATTGAAAAGGCACTTCTAGCTCCTCCTATATGGCTGACGTATATTTGGTTGGAGAGCTGCCCACTGTAAATTACTTGTGCTTGATTTTAGTTTCACTTTCAGTAACTGTGGAGTGTGGCTGCATTAATTTTGCATTAAAATGAGTAAAATGGAGGAGCCACTGCAATTTTTGCCATTCTCCTCTGCTGTTGAGACTGGCTTTTGGCATAAGCTAAGTCAGCTTAAACTTGATGTGCTGCATTTGAATGAAGAACCAATCAACATCAATGGAAACTATTACAATAATGCAGTCCAAGGTCTGCCTGCACTATTCAATGTTGACTTCACATCTTTTGATAGGTGAGTATGAATTGTGGCCTTTGAACTACCACTGGGATAGTTGATTGTTAGACATTTGCTGTGAGGTCTTAATGGAATTTCACGTGCCTCAAAACCTGGATTCTTGTTAATAATGATTTTCAGCAAAATAAAGACAACAAAATATTTCAAACAGCTTCTGGCATTCATGCAGACATTCAGCTCTTGTGTTCTCGCTTTTAAGGTAGAACTCAATGTTTTCACAAAGCCTTTCCAAAAAATGGCTGCAGTTTCCACCCTTTGGCTATGCAGCTTCTGACATGACATACTCCTGACATGGTAATTTCCCCTGACTCGACTCCGACATATCACCGCTGCTTGCCCTCCCACCGCCAGCCGGCCTCCAGAGGCCCTCAGCTGTCCCGGGGTGCTCATCAACCGCAACACTCGCGAGACGTTCAAGGAGTGCGACAAGGCCGAGCTGCTCCGGCAGCGCGGAGAGGAGGTGTGGAGCAGCATCACCGACGGCTCGGCGCTCTCCCGGCCCGGGCTGCTCAACCGATGGCTTCTGATCACATTCGCCGTACGTGCTGAGCTGATGGATATTGATGTGTGTATGTGTGAGTGAGAAACGTACGAATGGTGCGTGCTTGGCGTGGAGGCAGGGCGGGGCCTGGGGGTTGGGGGGTTGGGACATGGGACTGCCTGATATATCGTGATATTTGTGAGTTCACTTCCTTGAATCGTGTGTGCGACTTTGTCTCCATTGGGATCTTGAACTTATGTGTGTATTTATTCTTCACAGGACCTGAAGCGGTACGACTTCCTGTACTGGTTTGGGTTTCCTGCGCTCAAATGTCCCTCGTCCGTGATGACGGTGGAGCCGCCTCAGCCGCTGTCCGAAGCGTTCGCGGCAGATCAGGTGGGTTTGCAGATATTAGGATATAACAGAGTCGTTGAATGCATATCTTTATGATGTCAATGCATGAATCATCATGCTTCTGTCGTTTGCTTTGTACTCAATAGACATTGTAGTATTTTTGCATTGTGCAATGTGCGTTGTCACGATGTCTTTGCGGCTTCTTGTTGCCCAATTTGTACGTCACTGAAACTCTATATGCCTGAAGACAGAAATCATTACCCCCCTCCCCCCGCGCAGACGGAGCGCCTGTTGTCGCTGCTGCCGCCGGGATCCCCTCCCGCCGCCGCCTTCCTGGTGCAGCTGGAGCCGGCGCTGGCCGTGCTGCCGCTGGCCCGTCTGACCAGCGCGCCGGCCGGCCGCTGGCTGCTGGCCTTCTGCGACCCCAGCGCTGACCGGCGACACCCCGGCTGGCCGCTGCGCAACCTGCTCGCTCTCTACTGGCACCACTGGTGAGACACGGTTCACTTTCTACTGGCACCACTGGTGAGACACGGCTCACTCTCTACTGGCACCACTGGTGAGACGCGGTGGAGGCCAGTCTGAGGGGAAGGAGACTAGGTCTGAGGTCTGACGGTGGATGCTTCGCCTGAGGAGGACTCTCTTTACGCCACTTTTACTCTCGTTAATTGCATGCTAGACTAATAATAAAGTTATCCGTGAACTTTCAGCTAGGTGATTCATTGTGCGTTCGCTGGGATCCGACGACGATCTGTAATTCCCACTGAAGGGTGTGTTTACGTATACTTGGTAGAATCCATCGCCAGACAGTATAGAAATGGGGCAACGAAATGCTGCGCCGTTTTCCCTGACAGCGCTGTTCTGTTCCAGCGGCCGTGAGCGGCCAACTGTTGAGGTCCTGTGCTGGCGGGACATGACTCGCGGCGGCGTGCGCTCTGTCGGCCACAGTCTGATACTGAAGTTACGGCTGCCGGCGGAAGATGGCGCTGCGGACGCCGCGCCGGCCGTCACTGGATGGGAGCGGAACGAGCGGGGCAAGATGGGGCCGCGGATGGTCAACCTGAGCTCCACCATGGACCCGAAGGCGTGAGACACGGACGGGCTGGGCTCTGTGTCGGCTAGGCATACTGTTATCGGTGTCGTCAGAGTGAGAGGTCCGAATAGTCGGGACCGAACCGTATGAAATTAGCTATGTTCCGTCGGATCGGAGCTGACTCCCTTGTCGCGTAATATATATTTTTAGGACCATATGGGTTACTCTGCGACGAGCTGTTTTTTCTCCTAGTTTTAAGGTTTTTTATGTCAACACATTTAATATATGTCCTACTGTCTTATTGTTATAATAACGAGCACGCTAAGCGCTCGTTCACGATCACCTCTATACTCCTTGCCGTCTTGTCACCACCAGGCAGTCCAGCCGTACAGTTCTGACTGCTACCACCCTTTGTCCCCAGTCTGGCGGCCTCGTCGGTGGACCTGAACCTGAAGCTGATGCGCTGGCGGCTGGTGCCCGACCTGCAGCTGGACAAAATGACGAACGCCCGCTGCCTGCTGCTGGGGGCCGGCACGCTGGGCTGTAACGTGGCTAGGACGCTGCTGGTAAGTGGCCAGACTAGGTGTGTGTGGGGGTGGGGAGGGGGATATAACGCCCGCTGTCTGCTGATCGGGGCCGGCACACTGGGCAGTGGGCTGTAATGTGGCCAGGACGCTGCTGGTAAGTGGCGGGTGAGGCGAGTGGCTAAGGACTGGTGGTGGGTGGCGGCTAGAGATGCTTTAAGTCGGCTGAGAAGAGTACTGTTTGTAGGCGGCCAGGCGGCTGCATGTGCTGGTACATCTTCTGGAAAAGCACACAGTTCTAGTGTTTAATCGTGACCGAGATGAATTGGCTTTCGTGTGGTCTAGATCTACTTTCCAAATTAGCTCGCTGCTAATAACTATTTGGCTTGCAACGGGTGGTGAATATTGTATGTTATGAAAAAACAGGTATCCTAACATAAGTGATCGTTCAAAGTTGCGTTTCATGTGTGACCTGAGATATGCCTTTGCGAGCTGTTAAGCTGGCAATTCCATTGTGTGCTTGGTAATCCTTATAGTAGGATTGGAATGCTCCTCTGGAAATTCTTCTCTAGTTACTGTAAAACAACATTTATATGTGGCCTGTAAAACTTTATCCCTTAGAATGTTGGTGGTCACGAGAGGAATTTGTGTAATGTGGTCTGACATGTGGGCTAAATCGTTCCTGAAAGTAGTGGGGGCCTGCACCTGGACTTGACAGACAGTTTCTTTATAATTTGCGGCAGCTTGGCTGATAATAAGCTTGTAACTCCCATTAAGACATGAGTGGTAGGTAAACTTCGCATGCGCTCACTGAACGTATATCGGTAAGCACGTGCGGTTGCATTACTAGAAGTATTTCACATATAATACCTCCCCGCTGCCTATTGGGCTATTAAAACATTTCATACAAACGAGGCAGATTACGGTACGATTTAGAACTTTTTTTTAGAGCTTTTTAGCTCTTCGGCATTAATTTAGTAAGATTTTTTCTTTTGCCTATTTTGTCTGGCATGGAGCTTAGAATTGAATTAAAATTTCATATATCCACGTTATTCATGCGAATTGAAAACTCAAACATGCGGTATCGATTTAGCATGAAATGGAACTTATGAGCCATAAATCCTTGTCCTCTAAAAATTAAGGCAGGGCCTTCTCAATGTTTAATTCACTAAGAATGATATGTTGAATTGCATTGCGTTTCGGAATTCGTTACAAAGTAAAACTCTCTGATCTCTAAAGTATAAACCGCTACAACATACAATTAGTTGTTTGTGTTATTACTTGATGGCCATTCCACTGTACTGTTAGTTTTCATCAGTAGAAAACATACAACAAGAAAATTACATGCTGCTACTCTATGCCAGAACGAACAAGTGCCATTAACTTACTACATCTAATGGAACCTTGTTTGTAATTGTTTGGACTTTGATGAGTGCACAAATTTATTACGAATGTCTACTTAAGCAAAAGCATGCATTAGACGTGCGCCTCGGGGGCTTTGTCTTTGGTGCGACGTTGTACAGCTCATCTACATAATCAATGAATGAGCGGGGCGCCTTAATTGATCGGTCACCTGGTGCACGGTTTATAGGAGCGCGGCTGCATTACGGGGCCGTGCAGGCCGCCGCTCTCCCGGCGGGGTGCCGCGTTACGAGCGGGGCACGGTGGCCACTGACCGGCCTCCCCCGCCCCCGGCACCGCCGGGGGTGCCCGAATACAGAGCCGAGCTTCCGTTTGACCTCCCGCCTTAAAACTTGTAATGGCAGTGACGGCACCGTAGAGGAAAATATATTCATAGGCTGAAGCTTTATTGGATCTGCCTGTTTAGAATTGAGGCGTCGTTTGTCATTCTGTATTGGGAAGTAATGGAACTGCGGTGCAGGGGTGGGAGGATGTTGTCTCCCCCCCCCCCCCCGTCGGCACGCGCCCACACGGGGAGTTCCGGCGGAAGGAGGGAGGTGGGGCCGGCGACCGGCCGTGTATCTGCGGTCGCTGCCCATATCGGTCCGTCGGGCCGCGCATGGCATTACCGGGGAGCCGTCAGCCCGCTGACCGCAGCCCGTGTAATGATGCTGTCAGCCAGTGGTCGGCCGCCGGAGATGTTTTATTCAGGCGCGGCCCCTGCAGGACAGTCCCGGTTTGGAGCGCCCCGGTACTGGGCTGCGTCCGGCCGGAAACCGAGCTTCTGATCGGCTTAGATGAGCGCCGCGCGGGCCGGGAGTGCCATGCGCTCCTCGTGAGCGGGTGGTCCAAGGAGTAGCGGTCCCTGTTTCCGTTCCGGGAAGTTTGGGCTTTAGATGCGCGGGATTACATGAGAGGTTGGTGTAAAGTGAGGAGGGTGAGGGATTTTGTGGGTGCTCCGGCCAGGATTTGGCGGAGAGCTGGAAGAAGGAAGTTGTAAACTCAGTTGTAGGGCTGAGGATAACATGGAGCAGGGAGGAAGTGCGGTATTTAGCGTCATTTATTCACAAAGCCTGTCCTACGGATGTATGATTTGCATAAGTATGTCTAGAAAGTATTCGCTTTACAGATTTTCGTGTTTTGCATATTCTGTATTTGTATCAGGCGGATATTTTCAATTCCTGCTAGGATCACAGCGCTAGACAACTAGAGAATTGTTAGGATTCACTTGTAGATGTATGCATTACTCACGTAGTCAGATAAGTTACAGCTTAACAGCTTGCTTTAAAAACACAGCTATGACAAGCAATTTTACCAAGCAGTGCTCATGACGTCCCAAAGTATTACGGACTTTTATTGTTCCGTTACTTTGTAGCTGACGTAAATCGGTCGCGCCTTATCACGTAACACCCACCAGCCCCGGTTAGGATGAAGCCGCTACACTGTTCGCTATTGTCCTATACAGGATGTCGCCGAGCGCCTGATCACGCCTTGTAAAGTCCCGTTAACACCCGATAACCGTCCACTTCGTGATTTTAATTCGTGACTCAGTCGCTGGAGCGGCGAGTTTTCTGATCTAACACTCGTACTCGATCGGAACCTCACGCTGGATTTTCGTCAGCCGCTCGGCCTGTGTCGTCATTTTCTCTCGGCCCTGGCTGGTTCATCTGATTCTCTCGCCTGATTCCGACACCAGTTTGGCATATACCGTTGGCGACGTTTAACCGTTTACTTATCGTTGACGTTTAATAACGGCCTGCGTCAGTTTCGTGAGAGTCCGACTGGGGATGTGAGTGGACCACCTGTATGGGACATAGGTTGGCACCGTTATGTGGGATAAACTGGTGTAATCCCCCTGAATTTTCCCGGGATGCGTTACGTGAGATACATCGTGAACCAAATATTTGGTGTGTTGATATGCCAGGTGCTGGCATGTATGTTACATACACGCTAGTGTTGTTGCAATGTATGACGGTTATAACGTCATGCCTTCCAGCTGAACATCATGGACAATATTTATATTTTTACGACCGGAAAAGGCGCTTTCTTCTGGTTTGCCAGTTCACTGCAAAGCTGACGATATCACTGTGTTAAGCAGCGAATCAGGCTCACGGAACGTATGCTTGCCCAGACGAGTGCCACTCCCTTACTTGTCCATTAGTTTTGAGTGCAACTTACCACAGCCCTCTCCCCTTTGCGTGTTTCAGGGCTGGGGTGTGCGCCACATCACCTTGGTGGACAACGGAACGGTGTCCTACTCTAACCCGGTGCGGCAGAGCCTCTTCACGTTCCAAGACTCGGTACAGAGACGACCCAAGGCGGTCGCCGCTGCCGAGCGGCTCAAAGATATATTCCCGGGGGTGGTGAGTGAGAATCTCCGTCCCGGACTGGGGCTCATGTGGTCTAGGCTGAAGGCTCGGAGTTGCGCTGTGGGTGGATGTCTTAGCTCAGCGTATTTGCTCCGCTCTTTGGTGATGTGCATGAACGTCTTCAGGCTAGAGGTTTTTTTCTGGTTAGCATGCCAATGTTTCCTGATATATTCAACTCAATACAACAACCAATATGTGGATTATCCCGTGCCGGAAAGTTTACAAATGTCTTATAATAGTCGCAGATAATTGGGTGACTAAATATCTGCCGATGTCCCCAAATGTCTGAGGGTGTCCGTCTCAGCATAAAGCGGTGACAAATCTGCCAATATTCACAGATCTCCGAGGGTGTCCAGCTGAGTGTGCCGATGTGTTTCCCCAGATCTCCGAGGGTGTCCAGCTGAACGTGCCTTTGTGTTTCCCCAGATATCTGAGGGCGCCCAGCTGAGCGTGCCGATGCCGGGCCACCCTGTGAGTGCCGCGCTGCTGGACCAGGTCACCACCACCGTGTCCCGGCTGAGGCAGCTGGTTACCGACCACGACCTGGTGTTCCTGCTGATGGACAGCAGGGAGAGCCGCTGGCTACCCACCGTGATGGGTGCAGCGCATCAGAAGGTAGGAAGGGGAGGGAGCTGGGGGCATGGTTCTCTGAGGGGAGGGGGCGAGTATCGCAGCTCATAGAAGAGTTTAACGGAAGGGTGTTTTGAGGACATGTGTAATAGGGCGCAAAATGACCGCAGTAGTCGGCGCGATAAAAAAGCCCCAATTATAACAAATAGCAAACAAATTGCGATGCTTTATGCATGTTGTGTGGTTGGTTTGCTGGGTAAAGCGTTGTGATTTGACTTCTGATGAGAGCTGACTAGCTCACAGTTCTTGATGATGTGTCGTCGCTCTGACCGCCCCACCTCCGCCAGGTTGTGATCACGGCGGCGCTGGGGTACGACTCTTACCTGGTGATGCGGCACGGCAGTCGTCCTCCGGGCCTGCCGTCTCCTGACTCGGCAGTCAGTTGCGACCCGCGCCAGATGATCGACGGCTCCGAGCTGGGCTGCTACTTCTGTAACGATGTCGTGGCGCCGGGAAACGTGAGTACGATGGGGAGACGGATCGTACTGCTAACGCTCATTGGGTCGTGAGTTGTGTGAGCTGAGTTCTGGGAGTGGCGAGTCGTGTGTGAGTTGCGGTGGGTGATATGAATTGGCTGGGTTTGTAGGTCGTGCCAGTGTGGTTGGTGAGTCACCGAGAAAGGTGAGGCCTGCTGGAAATATGTGTGTTTCCAGAAATTCGCGCTGAATTGTTAAATGTAATTCGTGCCTGTTACAGTCAGCTGGGCATAGCAGGGATGTGACGCGTAGAATCCAAGCTATGTCCGGAAATTCTGCCAGAATGAGGAAAACAAAGTGAAATGTAAACAACGGAGAAGCCTGCTACAACAGCAACGCATAGTCCATAGCAAGCCGTTTTGGCAACATTGTTCTCTGCTTTTTTCTGTGTTGTGTTGAAATTCTAGATGATCTGTTGGATAAATTTTTCAACGAACCAAAACCTAGTTTGTCAAAAATGTATCGATTTTCTTTCTTCTTTACACGTACTCCACACTAGCTTATTAATTTTATCGCCATATACTCTGCTCAAACCTGTTTCCGTCGCATCCCTGCTGTGCAGCAACACAGTCCGACCTTGGAGTTATCCGCACCCTCGCTGTCTGCAGCCGCCCGCCACCGGAAAAGTCGCCGTCCCTCGCGCTTAAATCACCGTCCTCCGAATGAATGGCCAATCAGATGTGGCGGCGACCCGTCTCCATCTGACGGCCACATTCCAATGACCGCCTCCGCCGGAGACCAGTTGCTGAGCTGCTACCACATCCTTGGGGGGGGGGGGGGCACCTACCCCACACGGCGGCCCCTCGACGAACACACCTCACGGCGAACCCAGCCGACCGCCGCTGCTGCATAATGCAGCCATGCGCCGAACTCTGAATGTGCAATGCGCCGTCCACGATGCGGGGAATGTGTTTACTATGCGAGTTCCGGCGGGCCGGCCGGCCGGCCGGAGAGATAGCCCGTTATAGCGGCGAGCTGCGGGGATAAGAGGAGCTTCCGGGCGAATGTATTGTCCGGCAGGGCGGATGTGGGGGGCGATGACCTGTCCTGAGACGGAAGTTAAGGGGGATGGGGCGAAGGCCGCGGTCGTTACGGATGGAATGCCTTGCTGGGATGCGTTTACGATGGGGGCTTGGTCAAACCGCTACCCCAAGGGCTGACAGTTTGTTGGTGAGGGCTTTTGATGTAAGTTGAAATTGTGTTGTACATTACATCAAGCTAACTGTTGAAAGTTCGCGTACACTGCTAAAAATAGATTGACGCTGCACTGTCCAGATACAAAGTAGTGACCTGACCTTGTGTTATGGATTGAGTCTGATGCCTGAATGGTTCGGTGAATGTCATCGATATCACACCACGGTTGTCCTATGACCGTGTCTTCCCCCTCCCCTACCCCTCTGTGCCCGGCATCACCGTGACCGTGTTCTCCCCACCCTGTGACCGTGCCCCCTCCCCCTCTGTTCCCGGCAGTCGGTTCAGGACCGCACGCTGGACCAGCAGTGCACCGTGACCCGACCGGGGGTCAGTATGATTGCCGCGGGACTGGCCGTGGAGCTGGCCGCCGCCCTCCTCCAGCACCCTCAACGGTCAGTATTCCGCGAAAGAAACACTGATTGTCGACCTTATGGACTCACACGGTGTTGGATTCTGAATAGGCCGCACCTAGGTGAAGCGGCGAATGATGAAATTATGTTGCATGGCCTGTCGCCTTGCCCCTGACGCGATAAGAGCTCGTGCCTTGCACTCGACTATGGGTATGTGATGGACACGGCTGGAGCGACTGTGGTAAAACCCGATGACATACATACTGCACGATAGGGGAAGCTGGAAAGTTTGATGACGAGCCTTAAATATTTTGTTTGCAGTTGTACATATCTACACATGGAAGGAATTCACATACAGATGTACGGTATGCATTCATAGGTCCTCGGAACTTCCGCAGAATTTCGTGTTTTCGCCGAACACATTTGTTGCATGTCTCGTGACGGACATCAGAAATCCTCACTTTTCATCCCGCCTGCTGACTGGTGGTGGTGGTTCGGCTCTGTCCCGTGCGGGGCTGGCTGCGGTGGGGCTGAGCCTACCCGGCGGCCGCGGACACCTGCGGCCCCCGCCGCACCCGTCCGGCCCAGCCAGCCTTCCGGCGGCAGCCGCAGCACGCGGCACGCGAGCTGACCACCGCCGGCTGCCGGATACACCAGAGAGAACAATGACAGATGCTCGCGCGGCGCCAAAAATGACACCGAATGGTGTTCAGAAGAGGCGCTCCACGGGGATTGTTTGTTTGTGGTGTCACGTACGGTACGGGTGGGGCCGGATTTCGGTGAATGAATGCCTTCGGTTTGGAGTTTTTTTCGGATGCGGAGTTGAAATGTTGGTAGTTAGACTGTAGGTAGGATTATTTTTCGCGCGGCGTCTGGCATGCAACGGTCTGAAGTCTTTCGCGCAGCGGAATTTCAAGTTGTTAGGACGAAGCTTAAGTCATATCGCCGCAATGGGTCTGCAAAGGCCTCACATGCTCGGGATAGCGATCTTGGCAGCGTAAATAAGCTTAATCGGTGCAGCGGCCGACGGGGGCCCGGCAGGGCTGAGCTGGTATCAGGCACCCGAAATCCGCAAATCCCCGCTGTTTTCTTGGTTGAGAAGCTCAAACGGTAAGCTCGAGTGCTACTACGCAGTTAGTGATCTGTTCTGTCCAGAGCTATTTCATGTAATGTGTGGATATTTTTTTGTTCATATCGGTTACGGTTACGGTCAACGCCTGTTATTCTGAGTTATGCGAGCTGACGAATTCACAGTACATATGATACCTACTGCTGACAGGAGCCGGACATCCGGGAGGGTCACGTAGGCCGTGTTTGCGTGTCGGAGTCACACCTTTTCGCGGCTCAGTGTGCCCCCTCCCCCCCCCCCCTGGAGTCCGTTATACCGCCACATGTTTTTATTTAGCGAAAGCAGGTTATGCCAGCATGTAATGACGCAAATGTAAAACATGTTGAGGGAAGATTTCCGAATTCCAGCACAAAACAGGAACTTAATCCTCCTGCAGCCGCTTCCATGCATTGTGTAAAGTCCCTGCTCGGAATTCAGCGACTTTTTGGTCATGCAAGCTTAATCATAACAAAGACATTACCGTTTCCACCCAACACTGACGAGTAGGATGGATGACAACTTAATTCGACACTTTTAAATAGTAGCCTTGTTGTCATCGCTTTTTCAGTGCAATGCTCGGAAGGCAGGGGAGCGGCACTGTGGTCCGTTTTTGTACGCCGAGGTATGCGCTATGGCTGTCAAAACCGCGCGGCATGCTGTCGCGTTCCTCCCGTGGCCCGTTCACTGGGGAGGGGTGGAGGGGGCGGCTGTGGGTCGCGTGCCAGCGCGCCCCCGAGACTGGGCCAGTGGCGGCCAGCGCCTGACGGAATTCGACGGACAGCTGTGCGGCATCTCGGGCGCTCCAACCATGCCACCCCCGCTCTCCCCGCTCTCCCCCCCCCCCACCGTAACCGCTCGTTCGCCAGTGTAGGAGCTGCACATAAGCTGGACTATAAGTATGGGATATTGCATAGCTCAATCAGAGAGCAGAAACAGAGCGGTTGCCGTGCGCGGTCGGTAATGGCAGCGGTCGAAGGGGTGACATCAGACTCCTTCACGTCACCTCACACCCTTCACGGGTCGTACTCAGGGTCTAACGTCACCAGTCGGGTAACAGGGAGCTAAAATACTTTACAGTTTGTCACTTTCACCTCGGTAGAAAAATGAGAAAAGTGGCTTAAACCGATGAGCTTACCCTTACGTGCCCTTTGATGTCTTATGGGTGACGCCGGTTGAATGAAGAAGTGAAGGTTCATGTCCACATATGTTTTTGTTTTGTGGACTTTCGAGTCCCACACGTGAAAGTGACATTGGTATTTTTAACTCACGTGGAATGCAATTGGGTATGTGTTGTTACTGACCTTGAATGACGTTTACGCTGTCGTTTTTCTCGCCTAAAATTTGGCAAGGATCATTAACAGATCTCCTGTGAAGTTGGATTAGTGTCACCACAGCGAAACAATATACATCATCTGTCTGTTGCGTGCTATTTTCGCGGCTCTCGAAACTCGCCTCAACCAATCACTTTCACCCGGATTAAAACATTGCGTCTGAAGATAAATAGGTCCAATTTTGTGGCCCTTTGTGCCGCGTGACTTTTGCAGACAGCGATTATTTCACATCCATGCAATGGGATTTTATTGGCTGTGCGGCTTATTGATCGGGTTTTACGGGAGCACGGAGGGTTTTGTGTCTGGACCGCAGCCCCCAGTCGCCGCCGTTATCACTCAGACGGCTCGGCCGCGGCGCCGATACCATCCGAAAATACCGCACAACTTCGTGGCACATTGCAATGCCGGAGTCCGGTTGGCTAAAAACGTCATGTTTGCTGTTTGTCAGTGTATCTCTCTGGGGCTCAACCAGTTGATGATGCCGCTACCGCAGAGGGAGGGGCTCTAATCCCTGACTCACCGGTCAGCTATTTACTCTCCCGTTCAGCCGACAACACGGCTGGTCTCCCAGAACCCTGACTGGGGGATCAGCGGTTAGTAGCGATTCGGCCGGTCTTTCTGAGTCGGTCTTTGAAGTCGGCCTGGTGGGAAACGCTGTCGAGAGCTTTGCTGAATCGTTGATGACTTAATGTCTCTTGCTCGATCATAACCAATGAATGCTGATTTTGTTGAACAAGTAACTCATCTAGTTCGCGAGTGGGCGTGGGTGATACATGCCTGTCGCCTGACACGTCATACAGTGTAATAGCACTTTGTCAACCTATGTCTACAGTAAGCGGACCCCGGTCTCTAGGTAGGCAGAGAACAGACCCAGGCCAGCCCCTGACTCCCCTCTCCCTGTCTGCCTGCAGGGAGCGTGCCCCGGTCTGCCCTGTGTCTGCTGAGGTAGCCGAGGCGCCGGCCGGCCCTCTGACTCTCCTCGGTACCTCTGCCTGCAGGGAGCGCGCCCCGGTCTGCCCTGTGTCTGCTGAGGTAGCTGAGGCGCCGGCTGGTCCTCTGACTCTCCTCGGTACCTCTGCCTGCAGGGAGCGCGCCCCGGTCTGCCCTGTGTCCGCTGAGGTAGCTGAGGCGCCGGCTGGTCCTCTGACTCTCCTCGGTACCTCTGCCTGCAGGGAGCGCGCCCCTGTTTGCCCTGTGTCCGCTGAGGTAGCCGAGGCGCTGGCTGGCCCCCTGACTCCCCTCTCCCTGTCTGCCTGCAGTGAGCGCGCCCCGGTCTGCCCTGTGTCCGCTGAGGTAGCCGAGGCGCCGGCCGGCCCTCTGGGAGCGGTACCTCACAGCGTGCGGGGCTTCCTGGGGCAACACCAGCAGCTGACGCCGGCCACCAGGGCCTTCAACCGGTGCACCGCCTGCTCCAGCAAGGTAAGACATGAGAGACATACGAGATACACATGACGCAGAGACACCCACCACCGCCTGCTCCAGCAAGGTAAGACACAGCGTCACCGGGGGCTGCTTCGACAAGGCGCAGATCTTTTGTTTGTTAGTTTGTTGTGACTAGTTAGTCAAGGTGCAAACTGCACATGTCACCTTGCGAAACTTCGCTAGAGTGTGATATCGATCCGAACGAGCGCAGGAAATGATGAGAATCCTGTGTGTTTGTATAAACTGTACACGTCCCGTAGAGGTAGATAAAGGTGTATTTCTGTAATTGGTGTCGTCTCACAATCATTAGCGCCTGACTCTGCCAAAAATGGACTGTAATTGAGCACAGATTGTATATTGTATAACCGAGGGGTCAATCGTCGATGGGTCCTTCCTAAGCGGATTTTACGGACTAAAAATGGTGAAAGAAAACACCACCCACGTAATTCCTGAGAATATCTCCCCTGTTTGTGCATGCCGTCGGTCGCGTGTTGCGACAGATTATGTTTCGGTTTAGTGTGTTCATGCGCTATTGCAATAGCTCGTTTATTCCTAATGCGATGCACTGAATTAAGTGCATTTGAGAAGCGAATTACACCCAACTAAAGCTTTCTCCCCCACTATTTATCCTGAACCGTCCACTCAAGAGTTTCTACAGATTAGGAAAATCGTATTCCGAGAATCCTACGAACAATCTGTTGTTATTCATTGTGTTTTTGGGCTTGTGGTGCTGATGATAGTATTCCATAAAATGCAGCCGTTTTGTGTCTGATGATCATTTTTTTCGTGTTTATGAAAACGATAGTGGCATTTTGTCATAGCGCAGTACCCACCTTTACCTTCACTGGAATTCCAAATACCTTTTGGAAAGAAATGCAAATGCCACTTGCCTAAAATATGGCTTGTTTGAGAAGTAATGATAAATATCATTGATGTTTATTACACCTATAATATTATATTTATATCTCTTGCAATTAGGATGAAATACATCTTTAAGCTACTTGCAAAATGAACAATGTACATATTAAATAAGAAATAAATTATGAAAGCTGTTGGACTGTAAGGACGAGGATTAGGCTTGGCCTGTCGGGAATGCAACATAATATCTTATCATAGCTTTTCACTGCAATAAAAAGTGATGGAGCCTGTTAGTAAGTTCAATGTCCTGCTGTACTGCCAAATCATCTTGTCCTTTGATTCCATTTTATGTCGCTAATCAACCATCAAAATCTGTTTATTAACGTGTCACGCATTGCTTGCACCCTGTAATGTTTTTTCATGACCTTTGGTTTACGTGTTATTGACATTTATCACGAATTAGTCTAGCTGTCGCGTCACGGCGATCAGAAGGGATACCAATGCGGAGGAAATACCTCACTAATTAGCTCGGATGTTAGGTGGAGCTGTAGGTGACTCATCTCCCACTCGGGGCGCTCATAGTCTGACAGACGCGCTCGGAACAGCTCGCCTGCAGGAAAGTGCAGCTGCGAGCAGTGCCGCGTGCCCGAGCAGTGATGTGTGTTCGCCGTGTTCGCGGCTGATTAATGTCAAACGTGTGTGTTTCTCATTCCTGCCGGCTGCATTGTCTGTGGCCTTTGGTTGGTCAGCAGGTGACGGTCGCCGCTAGCACTGTCGTGTTGCATGTCCGACCGCGCGGCGGTGCCCGTGCCAACCCGTCCCCGGCTCTGTTCGATCACTCACTCGCATGGAACGTGCTCGGTCGAGTTTTTCAGCACCAAACAATCGCCGGCCTGGCATGTGACGGCACGACGGACGGGTCGGTGTGTGACGGCGCCCCTCGCGAGCTGCGGCGACCGGCCCGCACCTGCGCGGGCCCGGTGGTGGCACACGGCCTGTGACGAGCTGTCCTCATCGTGCAGCGCCCGGCCGGCGCCCGCTCGGCGCCCGATGTGACGCCCGGCGCTCGCGGTCCGCTCGCCGGTCTGATCATACCGCCCATCGCCGCCTGCGCCGGCTGATCAGACGATAGCGGCGGAGTGTCACGTCCACGACGCGTCCAGCGAGCTGTGTACACCGGCCACGGCCGAAAAATCCTCAGCCTTAGTCACACCACCGTCAGTGGTGGCCAGCCCGTCGTGATTAGCATAGCGGCGAGGATCACACCAGCTGCTCAGTGCGCCAAAAAGGCGCCCGTGTGACCTGCGGGAATTCGTGAGATACTCGCGCTGATCCGCGCCGGCCCTGTGTGAGCGGGCTCATTAGGCGCCCCGGATGGATGATGAAATGCGGACCGGCTGAGTCAGAGGCGAACAGAGCTGCTTGGTGGCCGTTTCCCTGGTGCACGAATTCCTGCGGCGGTCCCGGGACACGAACTGTGGCCGAGACACGGTTTGGCGGAGCTGGGATACGAATGGTGAACACGGGGTGGGGTATAGCATGGCGGTGAAGGCAGGATCTGGGAGGACCGAAGCGATTGAGAGATGGTCAAGCTTTTGAAAGACATTACACAATCGGAACTCCTAATGATTACACCAGTACCCTAGTGTGTTTTCCCCGTAGGTCTGACTCATTCATTTACGAACGCAAATTGCGTGTAGCTACCCTGAGGCTAGAAATATGAAACCATAAATCCCCATTGTGTCGTCCCTAGCGTGTCATCAAATTAGACCCGACCCCGCCTAGTGATGTCTTGGTCTCTCCCACTGCCATATTTATCCTAGCCTTGTGACCACCGCATCTACCACTCCTGTTATCCCCTTCGTCGTGTGAGCTGCCGATACTGCCTTGCCTATACCTCCTGTCAGCTATACCGAGTCAATGACGACCCGTCGAGGGCGCGGCGGCGATTTTTTCCCGTCGGACGTGCCACGATCTACCGATTCAGACGCCGATAGGTGCGCCCGGTCGCCGAGTGTTTATATTTCGGCGGGGAGTTACCGGCCGAATCCTGCTCGTGCCGTGTCAGACCGTGGCGTGCGACGACTAATGATGACATCGCCACTACTGCACCAATAGTTTTTACACTTTGGCTGCCATTATTTCAGGTGCGGCCAGCGGCCCAGTTTTCGTTCGGACGCCCAATTACCGAAGCGTGTCGGCGGTTCTTTCCGTGCACGCCGGGACTGTGTGCCGGTTTTTGGGTCTGTCGGCGCGGCGGAGTCGTGTCGACTGTCGGTATGTCGGGTGACGTGCGCGGTCGGTCTGCTGATGCCCGTGTCTGGTGCGGTCCACAGGTGCTGGAGCAGTACCGCGAGCACGGCACCGAGTTCCTGCTGAAGGCCTTCAACCAGTCCAGCTACCTGGAGGACCTGACCGGGCTGACGGAACTGCACCGGCTCACGGAGGCTGCTGAGGTGGGTGGCGTGGTCCGGGGGGGGGGGGAGCTGAGCGGGCCGCCCGCTCACCGAGGGGCGGGTGTCCTGGTCCGGGGGGGGGGGGCTGAGCTGTATACCGCCTGCTCACCACAAGGTCACGGCACCGAATTCCGCTTCGTGGCACCAAAAATGAATTATGACAAATCCTGATTTTGCGGGGATTTTATGATGATTAATGTTTCCTTGCATTATGCATTTTCTTGCATTATTATGCATGCAACGCTGACATATGCAGTCAGCCGATTTTATGGCTATTATTTTCTTTGCATCTAATTAAGCTAATGCTTCACGAAACGTAGCTCTATGTTCGTGGCTGCACACGGTAGCAAGGTAAGTGTAGTTGCGCCAATTTGCGCTAAGCGTCGTGCCACTAAAGTCGCAGGCTAATTAATGCCGATCGTAGAAATCCAAGACAAACACCCATTCGATACATGAAATAAACATTGCACGTACAGATATGACTCCATAGGTTGGCCATGTCATATCGCGCCACGCGAGGGGAACTAGCTTCTTGCATTGGATGACTCGGCCGTGAAATGCGTCCGCATTTATTTATTTTACCTTGTCCTGTATCCCAGGTTGAAATGACGCTGGCAATTAAATTCCTAATCGGTGTTGTGTTTCGTCGTTTAAAACTTAACCAGACATCCACTTTATTACCCATAATCCGGGCCAGCGGGGTATGTTGTTTCGCATTAGTGCCGTGCACAGTAGCGGCAGTAATATTCATTGCGCTGCAATATAACTGCTGACCGGTAAGTGCCTTCCACTGTTGTCGGCATTTTTCGTGGCTGCCGCAAAGTTTGCCGCTGTTATCACGCCAAAAGCAGCGTGCACCGCACGGTCGCATTCATCATGGGCGTTAGCCAGGGACATTACCGGGCTCCCATTGGACAAGTCTCCGGTCGACCCGCGAACCTTTTCACCATTCGTCACCGCTACATTTCGCTAATCTGTATGTCAAGTCGGCTCTAATCGGCCCACCCGGTGACTTATGTGCGACGAACACACGACGGCGGGGGAATGGATGGAAGCGTGCAGTAATTGTCAGCCGTGGGATGGCATGCGTGCTTTCATGTGTGCGGTGGCGAACGTATGAAAATTTCTGAACCTTTTGACTGGCCTTTGATAAAGTTACCCGCTTCCTTTGGGGGGGGGGGGGGGGGGGGAGTATGGTCTGATAGTTTTTTTACGGCACTTTGCTGTACCCACAACTGTAGTGTTTCAAAGTTTTATCATTCGGCTTCATCGAAATCGCTCTCCTGTATTTATTTGGTGCGTATTTCGGATCCACAGCACCCAAATGATTGCCTCTACTGACAAATGACAGCTATCCCCTCCCCTCCCTCCCCCCCCCCTTGATAGCTGCCGTGGACCTAAGCACCAATGTCCGGGCACCGCCCCTCTTCTGCCAATCAGCGATTGGGGACATTGTGTAAAAGCGGTATGTGAACGTGAACTGTGATTCAGCCTAGTGTTTGCTTACCGATACAAAGCGGAAGAATGCATTGCAATGTGAAGCTATCAACGGCCAGTTTAACATGCTGTTTGCATTGATTATTCCACAAGAGTAGGGAGGAGGGTAGTGCTTCACTAAAATATTCAGTTAACATGGGGGCAGACCGATTGTTGGGTAGCGGATTACCCATTTGAAGTGGCAATGATGCGACGATATGGTTACGGAGACTTTGATAATAAGCAAAGCCGCATGCAATATCGTTTTATCGCTCAAAAATCTTTCTGTGTAATGCTTAGTCTTAGCTTCATATCGTTTGTTCGGGTCCTTTTCGTCACTTTCATGCTTTATTTCGCTCAGTTTTTGGAAAGTGATGCGAACATTTGTCGGCGTTGATATAATGAATAATGGCGACCGCTGACAAAACATTGCGAGCGTTGAATCTCGGAAATATTGGAACCCATACGTATGCCAAAGGAAGTGCCTGAAGCCTAATCTAAAACTGAAACTAATCAAAAACACTCCGCGCACCCCTTGTACACCGCGGCTCGGCTCACACTGCGCGTGTTATCGGCCGACCACGGCGGGGCCGCCGCGGTTCTGTTTGTTCTTCTCCACCCTTCTCGTTATCGCCCCCCCTCCCCCTCCCCCTTCCCTGGACCCCACTGGCTCGGTGTCGCGTCGTGTCACGTCGGCCCGCTAATCACGATTCAACGTCCCGTTAATGCTTGATTAGCGTGTCCTCCGATCAACTCCTCTCCCTGTTTGGCTGTGAAAGGCCGTCAACACCCGGGTTTATCTTCGCCTCCAGCTCTGTGCGAGCCACCGCCAAACACCCCAAAGGAACCAAGGGTATGTGTATTCATACTAGATTATGCGCGCGTGTCCCGTTCACAGGGTTCACAGGCGGTACCTGTCAGCACGTGGGTTCCACGGCTCGGGTCCTGTAGGTACTCCGCCACACACGATGGGGGCCGGACCGGACACTGGGCCGCCTGTGGCCGCAGCCGCCGGAAACCGCGCCAAGTCGTGCCGACTGAGCGCGTCGGCCGCGCCGTTCTCTTTCGTTGCCACGTACTCGACGGATACAGCGAACTCATGGAACGCCGTCCAGAACAGGGGCTGACGCAGCAGCGCTATAATCAGTGGCGACCCCGACCATCCCCTCCCCCAGACCCCCACCACCCCCATGTTATCGGACCGGATCAGCACGTGGTGCCCGCCCCATCTCTCTCCCCACACCAAACATGCCACCATGACGGGGATGAGCTCCAGCCACGTCATGGATGGCGCGGCGTCACACTGCCGCTCGCGGGGCCACTCCATCATCCACCATTCGTCTCCGTGCCACGCCCCCATCCCCCGACGTGAGCTGTCCGTGTTCATCACAATACAGTGGTCGTACTCGCCCGGTGGCGGGGGGGGGGGGGGGGGGGAATGCCGTACCACATCGGCAAAAAGTGGCCCACCACCGTAAAACCGCCCGTACATCGGCCGTGATCCGCACCCGGCGGTTCGGTCCGCTAACAGAGTGCGCCGCATCTAGCAGGCGTCTAGTGAACGCCCTCCCCGGCGGGACGTACTTGCTGGCGTGCACGAGACGTCCCACCACCGACAGCAGTTCCCGCTGTGTGCATTTCTGTCGCCCGAGCAGTGTCTTTAGTAACTCCTGGGTGCCCACTAGCTTGGCGTCTGGCAACGCTAGGGTGTCTAGGGTGTTTCTGTGTCTATCACAACCCGAGAAGCTCCATCCGTGTTGATGGCGGGGCGCGTTTCCGCTCGGCCAGCGGCACGCCCACTTCCGCACAAATGTCTCGCAGTCTCACATACGCTACGTCGGCACTGTCCGATACTCCGCGCCCTACCCCGAAGAAGTCATCTAAATAATTGCGTATATACACGTCCGATGTCTGATCCTGGAACACATAGGCGCAAGCATGTGGCAAAATCATTGAAAACCCATGGACTGCTTCTAGCCTCAATGGCAGACAAACCTGGTAGTATAGTAAACCGTCCCAACAGAACCCCAGTAGCGCCCACTGGCCGGGCCGGACAGGTATAAGTTTGAATGCATTTTTAACATCGGTCTTGAACAGCAAGGTCCCGGCGCCTCCAGCTAGGAGAATCGACCGCACGGCCTCGTCGAATGATGTGTACGTCACACGAAACTCGTCTGGGTCTAACCCGGCGTTGACCCCGACATCTCTCGACTGTGATAGATCTAAAATGAGCCGCACTTCGCCATTAGGTTTATCGCGCGCACTCAACGGGTTCACTATCATGTTCGGCAGCGGTGGAGCATGGAACGGTCCCCGTGTCGTACCGTCCGCGACCTCTCGCCGAATGGCTGCCGTCACCCCGGCACGGCGCCGTTCGGCGGACTGATTGTTTTTCGCGAAACGGCCCCGCGCCGCACCGCGGTATCCAATGTCAGCCCCGTGCCGGAACCGCCCAACGACAGTTTCTCTGGCATCGACCATTGTCCACAGCCTGTCGCTTGGCTTCCACCCTTCTGCACTGTCGACGGCGTAGGATCATGCACGAGTCTAATTATGAATACGCCCCCGAAGTCACGCCTAGGATCGCAGTACCACAGCCTGCCGTGCCGGGCTATCTGCTGTTTGCACTTGCCTGACCGGCCCGCCGCGCCGGCGCCGCGGTGTGCGTTATGAGTCACTCGAGGTCGTCTTTCCGCGCGTCCGCCCGCTCGGCCGCACGTTCCCTTATCCATGTCGCCGCACCCCCCCCCCCCTTTCTCTCTCTCTCTCTCTCTCTCTCTCTCTCTCTCTCTCTCTCTCTCTCTCTCTCTCTCTCTCTCTCTCTCTCTCTCTCTCTCTCTCTCTCTCTCTCTCTCTCTCTCTCTTCCTCTCCCTCCTCTCTCTCTCTCTTCCGCCCTCCATCCTCTCTCTCTCTCTCTCTCTCTCTCTCTCTCTCTCTCTCTCTCTCTCTCTCTCTCTCTCTCTCTCTCTCTCTCTCTCTCTCTCCTCTCCTCTCCTCTCCTCTCCTCTCCTCTCCTCTCCTCTTTCCTCCCCTCCCCTCCTCTCCGTCCGTCCCAGGCCATTGTCCCTCCCTTGTTCGTCGGTTTGTCGGCGGTGTAGCTTTTATCACCGCTACGGCCGCCCAGGCCGTAAGCAAATAGCACCACTGGGTCCACAGATTCTCCTCATGTCCGGCTTTCGCGTTTGACGCGAGCACTAGTCAGCGAGTTTGCCGCGCTGCGTTTCTGCTGGGCTATACGCGTTGAACTTGGCATGTCTGGCAGGCGCCGCTATTGCGCCAGGTATATATCGATACCATACCGAGGCCGCGATGACATGCCCACGCACCGACCAGTTGGCGACATGTTGACCCTGTTAATGTCATCTAGACGCCGTCTAGTGGTGTTAGTTGCAGAAAATGTATGTCCAATGTCCGTCCAATTCCAATGCTTACGCCGATTTCCGTCCAAAATGTTTAAGCTAGCCATTTGTCCAAAGATGTCCGAAACCTACGCAATAGCTTACACTTAACACTGTTATCTTTT